TGCTATTCTCCCCTCTGGCCTGTGCTCATGATGGCCTTTTACCTTGAGCAGCCTTCCCACACAGCCCTAGCTATATAGTCCTCCCACCTCAATACAAATCTTTCCTCCCTAGCTACCCAGTGTTTTTCAATCAGTATTCATTCTGTCCTTCTGTCCTAGTTTACACTTCTTGCTTTATAATACAGTATGTCTTTTTTGTACCAGAGATAGAACTCAGCCTTGCACTTGCAAGGCAAGTGTGGCGCCACTGGGCTAAATCCCCTGCCCTACAATGATTATCTTGTCCTCTAAGTGTCTTTAAAATATAGCACCTTATCCTGTAGTGTTACTTTTGTATTCATCACCTATACACCATGGCCCAGGGATTTTTAAATGGCTTATTTCTGTGATAAGACAGAAAGAGGTAGAAAGTAGAGGGAAAGACTTGTGAAGGGAATGAGTTTGTTCAGACTCTCCAATTGCATATCTCTTCTACCGCTGCAGTGTCTGCTTCTCAGGACCAAAGTGGGGGTCCACTAAACGAGGGCTTAGACAGACACTAACTATGAAGAACAGTTTATTCATACTTACGTTTATTCACTTACTTTCTTCATTTACTGTCTCTTGATCATTTTCTGTACTCGCCCAGAGACTGGTTTTGTTCTGCATGCCTCATCTTGAAACACTTTCTGAGCTCAAATGCCCCTGTCGCTATTAGTTTTATAAATATTAAATTTTACAGGAACACCACTTTAAATAGTCAGGGTTACACTATTTATAGGAATAGAATCTAGGACTCCTAAGGCTGTAAATCTCTAAACAATTTCTTCTGTAATTGACATATTGTCACACAAGTGTGATTTCATGATCATCTCGTAAAGCTATATGATTGCCTTTTATAGTTATATCAGAGTAGCAGTGTGTTATGTTGTCTTCCCAAAGAATCTGGTTTGTGTATTTCTAAACCTTAGTGCATTCTTTAGATCTCTGTGATAAATCTGCATCCACATTATATAGCATTCTGTTTTCCATTTTACTGTAAATGGGCATTTGGATAGTTTCTGACTTAGGATGATTGTAGATGGTGTATTCCATATGTATTCTTTTGGAAAAGCATGTACATTTCTGTTGGATACATATCAAAGAATGAAATGGCTAGATTGTAGGGCATACATATGTTCACCTTTAGAGTGATAGATCCTGTCAGACTTCCAAACTAATTGTACCAATTTATAGTCCCAGCAGCATTAAGTGAGAGTTGTAGTGGCTTTGTATCCTGGCCAACACCCAATTTTCCTCTCCTTGGTTTTTGGTTTGTTTGTTGGGGGGGGTATTTGTTTGTTTGTTTGTTGTTAATTTTGAAACAGTCTCACTATGCCTTGAAATCATTGTGTAGCCCAGGCTGGGCTCAAACTTGTGGCAATCCTCCTGCCTCAACCTTTCAAGTGTTGAGATTATAGGCATGTGCCACCACACCTGGCTTTTTTTTTTTTTTTAATTTAGCTCTTTTGATGAATGTATAATGGTATTTCTTTGGTTTTTAATTGTATTTTTCTAACTGTGTTGAATTTTCCTTCATTGTTGATTGACATTTGGGTAACCTTTGTGGTGACCTGTACAGGTCATTTTCATGTTTCTCTTGGGTTATCATTTTTTAATGTTTTTTAATGCTTTTATATATTCTATTTATATAATTGATATGAGTGTTTTATCAGATAAATAGCAAATATCTTCCCTCACATTATGGGTTTCTGTTTTACTCTTAATAGTGTACATTGATGAGCAGTTCTTATTCTTAATGTTTAGTTTATAGTTTTATGTATCTGTTTAAGACATCTTCGCCTACTCTAAGCACACAAAAATAGTCTTCTTTGTTTTCTTTGGAAAGCTTTGTTGTTTCACATATCACATTTAAAACTATTGTGAGATGAAATCTAAGTAGATGGAGATACATGCACATATATGTATATATACATGTGTACATTGCTTCCCTGTTACTTACAATTTTGTTTTCTGTGATCAGCCATCTTCCAAAAATAGTAATATTTCACTTTATTATAGTATGTTATAGTTTTCTAGTTTATTGTTAATCTCTTACTACTAATTTGATAATTAAACTTATATATATGAAACATTTTATATATATATATATATATGCACATATATATAGGTGCAATCCATGGTTTCAGGAAGATATTGAGGAGTCTCGTAGCATATTTCACTGTGAATAAGGGGATACTACTGTGTACTTTTTAATATGGACAGACAGGTAATATGACCCTTAATTAAAAGGACCATTCTTTCCCCCTCTTCATTTTATTGTCACTTCTGTTGGGTGTGTAGATCTAGGTCTGGATTCTTTATGTGTAATGCTATTTCTGAGCTTTATTCTTTTCCATTAATCTGTTTTTGTTTATTCCAATTACGTAATTATTGTATCAAGATTTATAGTAAATCTTGAAATCGGATACTGTAAGTTTTCCACTTTCATTCTACTTTTGTTCAGAATTATCTTTGCTCTTCTGCATCCTTTACATTCCCATAAAATTTTTAGAATCATCATGTTATTAATTTTTACAAAAGTCTTGTTGGAACTTTGATTGGGATTATGTTGACTCAACCAGTGGTTCTCATTCATGCATGATTTTTACCCTCCACAGGATATTTGGCAATGGCTGGTCACATTTTTGCTTGTCACAACCAAGGGAGCGCTAAGAGCACATAGTGGATAGATGGATAGCCAAGATCTAAAGGCCAAAGATGCTCCGATTTACCCTAAAATGTACAATACAGCTCTCCACCAACAAATTATTACCCAGTCCAGTAGTGCTACTGTTGAGGAACTGAATTAATGTAATCACTGTTCTACTTGGGCTTCTGTCTATTATCCTACTGTTTGTTTTCTGTTTGGCTCACGTTTGCTTTTTTCCTCATTTTTGCCTTTTGGATTGATAAAAAATATTCCATTTTTACCACCCTATAAACTTACTAGATAAATATTCCTTTATAATTATTTTAGAGATTGTCCGACAGATTTCAACAGCATGACATGATACAGTCTAATAATTTATTTTAACACTTCTTGATACCATCACACTCTTAGAACACTTAACTCTTTACCCCTCCCTACCTCTTGTGCATTTTTATTGCCTTGCATTTTAGTTTTATATATACTTATACTATAAGGGGCATAATAATTATTGTTTTATACAATTAATATTTTTGTATTGACCTGTTCCATCTTCATTCTTGCCAGTATGTCCATGGATCCAGGTTCATTTTTCTCATTTTATTTTTTCCTTTAGTGTAGCCCTGATAGCAACGAATTCCTTCATTTTTTGTCTTAACACATCTTTTCCTTCTTTTTTGTAGTACTGAGGGTGGAACGCAGGGCCTCACACATTGCTAGGCAAGTATTCTACCACTGAACTATAGTCTCAGCCATACTTTAATTTTTGAAATATAGTCTTGTAGGGTATAAAATTCAAGATTGTTATTTTCTTTTGGTGCCTTAAAGGTACCTCAGATCTTGTTGTTAATTGATTCCACGAAGTGTGGTGAGTACCAAAAATGATGTGTACCAAAAAAATTATTTTGGCTGCAAAGGGTAGCAAGTAACAAGGCAGTTGATACTGACAAGTTCTAGCTTGTGTGTAGAGTGCCAAACAAATGAGTACCAGGACAAAATTTTCACATCAAAATGTGTTGCTGAAGGGCCAGGGATTTAAAGATTTAGCTCAGTGGTGCCACTGCCTGCCTTGCAAGGGCAAGGACCAAGAGTTCAATCCCCGGTACCAAAAAAAAAAAAAGTGTTGAGTGCCAACTTATGACTATATATATATAACTTTTGAGTGTAACTAAATGAGTTGTTTAACTCATGTTAACAGAACACCTTGAATTCTTGGAATTATCTGGTTTGACTTTAATATCCTCAAATCACCTGTTAAAAGACAGAATGCATAATATCTTAGGATAGAAGTTACTTTAAATGAAAAGTAATTTTCCTCTGCTTTTTTACAATATTAATCTCATTCATGTATTTATTTTTTTATTTGTTTTTATTTATTTTTGGTTCCAGGGATCAAACTCCGGGCCTTGTGCTTGTGAGGCAGGCAGTGGAACCACTGAGCTAAATCCCTGGCCCGATCTCATTTATTTTAGAAGACTTGACTGTTAACTCCAATATGTGGTTGTCTGGATCTTCTTTTATTATCTATTTTTCCTTGTGATTATCATTTATGTGATTTTTTGACTCTTAACATGTTCAAAATCTTATTATATGCAAGGTATTATATGAAAATATCTTAGTGGTTCCATATTATATTACACCAGAGAGGTAACCTTTACTTATACTTTTCATGTTGCTTCTGCTAGGTTAACAGACTGGGAAGTTGAGTGCTTCATTTTCATCAGGGATTGCTCTGGATCACTGCTGTCAGTCCTAGGAAGGCTCACGCCTACACTGGTTCATCCTTGTTAGACTGTAATCCTCTAGTGCTTTCACTAGAGGATTGAAACAAAGAGCGTAATGGGCTTTTTGTTTACCTGACAGTGAAAGACTGGAGAGTCAGTTCTGCACGTCCAAGGTTTTCAGCTTAGTTCTTGGGCCTACAATTTCGTGCAGCTCCAAAATTTAGTACTAAACACCTTGAAACATCAACCACATTTTAAGTCCCTCAGATCTCCAGTTTTGTCGCTTTAGCTTCTCAGAACACCAAATATATGCTCAATTCTCTGTCCCAAACAGCAACCTTCTTCCAGAAGTTTTGTATTTGAGACCCATTAACTACATTTTTGTCTGTTCAGTCCCTTGTAACCATTGTGGTTTCTCTTTACCAGTGATAGCCATTTGGCCAGAATCAGCAAATATACCAAGGGGGAGGGCTGCACACCTGTTGATTGTTGACTCACTCCAAATATTCTTTTCCTCCCCAGACTATTGGTCCAGCTAGCCCATGTTGCTTTTATAAGTATTAGATGCTTTAAGTAATGTTTTTTGTAAATTATTTGGCTTTTTCTAGTCATCAGAGTGTGGACCTGCTACACCCTACTAAATCCTACTTGAAAGCAGAATCTGTACAGATGTTCTGGAGTTCTTATCAGGTGCCAGGTGTTCTTCATGCTTCTGGGTGTAGGATTGCCACTACCCTCAAAGAGTTCCAGTCTAAGGTAGGTAAGGCACACAATACATACTAATAATATATGTTCTATACTGTAATACAGTTGTGTACCATGGTAAGAGAAAGGAAACGTGAATTAGCATCATTTGTTTAGAAAGTTTCAAGTTTTATAATTTTATATGGTTGCGGTTTAGAGTTCAACAATAAAACTAGAACAATAGGGTTGGCAAGAGATGGGCATAGGCCAAAGGTAAAGAGCCCTATAAGCCTTGGTAAAAAGGTGTTTGTGGCTTACATAGGATTGGAGAGCAGATGAAGAATTTTAGACGTAGGGAATAATGACCAGACTTTGTTTTAGAAAGATTACTTTAGTGTCAGTATGAAATGTGGATTCTGGAAGGGCAAGCATATAAGACAAGGGGCCAGAGAGGAAACTGTTGCAGTTTACCCAACATGGAATACATGATTATCATTATCAGTCGATTTAGAAGGTGTTGAGGAAGAATTGATGAAATATAGGAAATGGTTAGATTAAGAGAAGTGAAAGACAGAAATTCCAAGATTTCTATCTTAGGTAAAGACCGTAAGTCACAAAGGTTATATAGTAGAAAAAGCAGATGAGTTCAGTTTCGGAAAGCTATGTGTTCCCATTTCAGTTAACAGTTTTTGTAGTACAGTCTGAGGGCTTAGTTTGTGATCTACCACTCAGGGATTCCCAAGTTAACATTATGAAATTCCTAAGGTGAATAATAGATGCAGGCCCCAGGCCATTGCTCTCACCCTAGCTTGACATTTTGTTTTTTTGCTTTTGTTTTTTGTTTGTTTGTTTTGTTTTTTGTGGAGTTTTTTGGTTCCGGGGATTGAACTCAGGTCCTTGTACTTGCAAAGCAGGTGGCGGATCCACTGAGCTAAATCCCCGACCCCTCACCCCAGCTTTAGCAAGAAACCCTCTGATTTTGTCTATTTGATGTATCAGGCTTCCTTTTAAACATTTTATATAAAAAAACTTTTCAAGGCTAAAAGAAAAAGAATTATCATTGTTGACCTTTTCATTCATCTTCCCATCTTAGATCTGTTTTGTTTGGACAGATTTGTTTCTTAGGTATCTTCCTCTGGTAGATTATATAGGTGATGCTTCCTCTGAATACATGCATGTTGTTCTTCCACCTTGAAGGAGAGCATCTTAGCTGGATATAAGGTTTGGGGACCATAATCCTGTATTTACAGTCAGTAGGTGCTATTCCACTGTCTTTTAGCATCCATTGTTGGAAATGAGTGCAAAGCTGATCTCTTTTTCTTTTGTAAGTTGTTTCTTCCTAAAAGTATATATGATTTTTCTTTTCATCTTTAAAGTTTAGGAATTTTATCAGAATGTGACTAGATATGTACCTTCTGACTTTCAATATCCAGAAAACTGTTCTGGCAGCTAGGGGAAATGTTTTAGGTATTTGTTTACATCAGCCCTAGACTGGAGGTCCTGAAGAATAGGAACCATCTCTTTTTGGTTTCTCTACTCTCCAAAAAAATTGAGCAGTGGCTGGCACATGGCCCCCATAAATAGCTGTTGAATCAATTAATGTAAGTTCACTTTGTATTTGCTCTGAGCTTGACCCTCTTTACTGAAAAATTTCTCCCTTCAGCTTGCAGAATGTTTCCTCAGTGAGAGGAAGGCTGTTGCACAATGGCAGTGTTTGATACTCCTCAAGAGGCTTTTAGCATCCTACGCCCAGTCTGTGTTCAACTCACAAAGACCCAGACAGTGGAGAATGTGGAACATCTGCAGACACAGTTACAAGCTGTGAGTGACGCTGCCCTTCAGGAACTTCAGCAGTACATCCTCTTCCCTTTACGATTTACCTTGAAGACCCCAGGCCCCAAACGAGAGCGCTTAGTCCAGAGTGTAGTGGAATGCCTCACATTTGTCCTCTCTTCAACATGTGTGAAAGAGCAAGAGCTTCTTCAGGAACTCTTTTCAGAGCTTTCTACCTGTTTGTATTCACCCAACTCCCAGAAACCTGCTGCTGTGTCAGAGGAGTTGAAATTGGCTGTGATCCAGGGACTTAACACCTTGATGCACTCAGCTTATGGTGACATCATTCTGGCATTTTATGAGCCCTCCATTCTGCCTCGTTTAGGATTTGCTGTGTCTTTATTGTTAGGCTTGGCAGAACAGGAGAAATCAAAGCAAATTAAAATTGCTGCCTTAAAATGTTTACAGGTTCTGCTCTTTCAGTGTGATTGTCAGGACCATTCTAGGTCCTTGGATGAGCTTGAGCAACGGCAGCTGGGGGATTTGTTTGCTTCTTTTTTACCTGGAATCTCAACTGCATTGACCAGGGTTATCACAGGAGACTTTAAACAAGGCCACAACATTGTGGTATGTTCCCTGAAGATCTTTTACAAGACAGTGGGCTTTGTTATGGCTGATGAGCAGCTCAGAAGAATCTCAAAGGTCCAAGCAAAGCAAGCAAAGCCTGCAGTTGAGCATAGAATTGCAGAGCTGATGATTCACAGAGAAGGAGATTGGATAAAAAATACTGGCGAGAAGTTGATGATCCTTATTAAAAAGATAATTGAGTGTGTTTCAGTTCACCCACACTGGAAGGTGAGGCTAGAGCTAGTAGACCTTGTGGAGGCCCTTCTTTTGAAGTGCAATCAATCACTGGTTGATTCTGCTGGTCCCCTCCTGAAGGCTTTAGTGAGCCTCATAAATGACGAGAGTCCTGAAGTCCAAGCCCAGTGCAATAATGTTCTGAGGCATTTTGCAGGTCAAAAAGTAGTAGTGGGCAACAGAGCCTTTACTGACATCTTGTCAGAAAGCCTGCATTCCCTTGCCACATCTCTTCCCCGCCTAATGAACTCCCAAGATGATCAGGGCAAATTCTCTACTCTGTCCTTGTTACTTGGTTATCTGAAACTCTTGGGCCCCAAGATAAACTTTGTCCTCAACTCTGTGGCCCATCTCCAGCGACTTTCCAAAGCACTCATCCAAGTTCTAGAACTAGATGTTGCTGACGTAAAAATTGTTGAAGAGCGGAGTTGGAACTCTGATGACCTGAGTGCTTCTCCAAAGATCCCCACTACATGGCAAGGAAACCAAGTCCAGAGAAGATATTTCCGCTTCTTCACAGATGAGAGAGTTTTTCTGCTCTTGCGAAAAGTTTGTCGGCTTCTTGGTTATTATGGGAACCTTTATTTGCTTGTGGATCACTTTATGGAACTGTACCATGAGTCTGTGGTTTACCGGAAGCAAGCTGCCATGATCCTTAATGAATTGGTTACAGGGGCTGCTGAGCTGGAAGTAGAGGAACTTCAAGAAAAGCATACTAAAATAAGCCTGGAGGAACTGAGAGAGGTTGTTACATCTATACTTGAAGTATACACGAGCCAAGAAAACTGGTATTTGGTTACCTCTATTGAAACCGAGGGGGAAGAGGAGCTAATGAAACAGTCAGACCTCCAGGCCATCACATCTGGTGTACACATCTGCCAAATTATATCTTTTCCAGCCTTCTCGAAGCCAAGTCCCACTATTTGCTCCATGAACAGCAACATCTGGCAAATATGCATCCAGTTGGAAGGGATTAGCCAGTTTGCATATGCACTAGGAAAAGACTTTCGTTTGCTCTTGATGTCAGCCCTCTATCCTGTACTAGAGAAGGCTGGAGACCAAACCCTGCTCATTAGTCAGGTGGCTACCAGAACCATGGTAGATATTTATCTTGCTTGTAACTATGACTCCTTGCAGGACCTGATCAATCAAAATTCAGACTATTTGGTGAATGGCATCTCCTTAAATCTTCGTCATCTATCTCTGCACCCTCATACCTCAAAGGTTTTGGAAGTCATGCTGCGGAACTCAGATGCTAGTCTGCTTCCTTTGGTGGCAGATGTGGTTCAAGATGTCTTGGCCACCCTGGACCAGTTTTATGACAAGAGAACTGCTTCCTTTATCAGCGTTCTGCATGCCCTGCTGGTAGCATTAGGTACATTGAAAGCCCTTTTTAATGTTGATTTGGGAGATAGTATTTAATATCCTAGTTTGCCTAGTCTTATTTTTTTCTTTAGCATTGTGATTATGCTGTGGAGAATATTTGAAAGGTTTTCTCTCCAGTCCCATGTTATGCTATGGTTCCATTGTTTATTTTTTTATGCTTTCCATAATCTACCATTTATTGAACACTTGCTCTGTGCCAGGGATATAAACCTTGTTGGTTAAATATCAACATTGATTTTATTTTACAAAAGAAAAACTAAGGCCCAGTGAGAAACTGCTTAGCCAGGGTCATACAATAAGGGATAAAATCAGAATTTATGACAATTTTATTCTTTCCAATATACCAACCTGCTGCTCCTGATACTTGGAGTTAGCAGTATCTATGCTAATAGAGAACAGAAGTAGCATGAATTATTCATTCCACAGATGGTTGGAAGAGTACTGTCCAACGGAACTTTCTGTGATGATGGCAGTACTCTGTATCTGTTTGGTTCAATACAATAGCTGCTAGCTACATGTGGCTAGTACCACTGGGGAATTGAATTTTCAATTCTGTTTAATTTTAGTAGCCACATGTATTATACTGGACAGAACAGATCCGAAAGTTCTTTTTAACCCTTCAATTATGTGAGTCATGATTTGCTTTTCTCATCTTCCATTTGATCTTCAGTGCCTACTAGAAATGCTAGCCACATTCAGAATGGCAACATTTTCTATAAGCAAAAGAACCCCTCAACTGGACAATCTTTGAATGAAAAAACAATACCTGGGTGCCTTTTATCGAAAAAGCCTATCTGCAGTATTTATTTCAGTACTGCTATAGCCTCTGAGGCTGGCAGGAAGGTTCCTGACTTCATTTTATGAGGTAAAAAAGCTAAAAACATGTAAGAAAGTTTCTCAGGAAAGGTGTCTGGAGCAAGGACTGTTCTCTGCCCTATAGCTGATGCTCTTTCCAACATTCTTTCATTAACGCCTAAGCATTTATGCAGAGCACAAATGTTCTCTTACTTAATAAAGTGACTGCCATATATCATACACTGTGATAAGTAACAAGGAACAGCAGCGAACAAGGTGAATAAACTTAGGGCGTTTTCCTCCTACTGTAAGAAAGATGATAAGCAAGTAAACAAATCATTGAACAACCTCACTGCGGACTCTAATAAGCACTGGGATAAACACCTTGATGCACAGGAGTAATAGGGACAGCCACTTTAGATTGAGTGGTCAAGGAGGGCCTCTCTGAGGAAGTCATACTGAAACTGAGCCCTGAAGGATAAGAAAGTCCCATGTATGTACATGGCTGTCACATTGTTTTTAGGATTTCAAGCAAAGGGAGCCCCAGGTGTGATGGCCCTGAGGGAAGAAGGAGCTAGGGTTATTTGGAGAATGGAAAAGACATCATTATGGAGAGAATGGTATAAGATGGAAAGGAAGTCAAATCGTGCAGGACCATACAGTCCAGGGGAAAGAGTTTGGACTAAACTTTTCGATCACTCACAAGTCTGTACTATGACTGATAGACAGTGTGGAGGCAGCTGTGGAGAAGACCCACTAGGGCCTGCCCTCATGGAGCCCCTCCTCAGATTGGCTGGTCACTTGGGCATTGCAGACTAGGACTGGCTTCCGTGGGCCAAACAGAACCGCCTTTACCACTTTGAGAAACTACACATTTCAATTTGAAATTTAAACAAATTTGGAAAGGCCTGTGAAATACATCCTCTTGGGAGACATCTCAATTTAAGTCTTAAAAATTGAATTGCCTTATTGCTGGTGTCTCCCATCTCTGAAGGCAATCCTATATAGTACTTTTTTAATTGAGGAAGGAGGGCCTTGTGGAAAGGAAACTGAGGATGGTTAAAATAGACCCTGCAACAGCCTAGGAAAATAAGCAAGATTGGAAATAGCTCTTCAAGTTTTGAAATAACCCAGCATACATTGCATTTTGAATAAATAGTAGAATTGATACAGTAATTCATGAATGGAAGTATCACTTTATGCTGCCATTTCTGTTTGTTATCTAACTGATTAGTTATCCAACTGATGACCTCTCTTTTAAAATGAAAGTGAGCCAGGCACAGTGGTGCATGCCTATAATCCCAGCACTTGGGAGACTGCAGGAACATAGCCCCAAGTTCAAAGCCAGCCTGGACTACATAATGAATTTAAGGCAAGCCTGAACTAGATAGCAAGACCTTTTCTCAAAAATATAAATAAAATAAAAGTAGAAGTGTGCTCTCAGAGAACAGAAGTCTTAAAACTCAGTACATGTTTTAGGAAATTAAGTTATACACACAGTGTTTCACATGCATCAACTAAGAAAGCAAGAACCATCAGGTAACCAGGCATGGTGGTGCATGCCTGTAATTTCAGCTACTCAGGAGGCTAAAGCGAAAGGATTGCAAATTTCAGGCCAGCCTTGGCTACTTAGATCCAGACTCAAAAATGGATGGATGGATGGAGATAGATAGATAGATAGGACTGAGGATGTAGTACATACATAGCATGCTGCTGCATTTTTATGGCTGCATATCCCACTGTGACTAAACCATAGTTTATTTAACCAGTTCTGTCTTTGTAGGTGTTTTGGTGGTTTCTAATCTTTTACGACCACACACACACAAAAAAAGTGAATATCTTTGCAGATCATTTTGAACACATCTCTGTATATCAGAAGGATAAATTCCTGAAAGACATGCTGGTTTAAAAGGGTATTGCATTTTAATTTTTGATTGAGAGTATCAAATTGCTCTCCTAAGAGATTGTACCAATTTAAACTCCATCAGCAATATAAAAGTGCCAATTTTGCCACGCCTTTACCCATACTGTACATTACCAAGCTTTTGATCTTTGCTAATCCAATAGGAGAAAATTAGCACCTTATTATAGTTTTGATTTACATTAAGAGTGAGGTTGAGCTTCTTTTCATATGTTCAAAAGCCATTTGTGAACAAAGACATTTTAATGTCTGGCATGAGTCTTGAATCTAGAAATAATCTTTATACAGTATCTAATACTAGCCATGTGAATTCTGGGTCCAGCCTTTAATTATTTGGGAACCAATCCCTTAGAGTGCACTAAGTATCTGATTTATACCTGGGAATGGTGCATTAAAGAAACATCATAATTGATCCTTACATACAGAAACCTCCCGATACTGGATTGAAGGCTCTCCTCTCAAGCATTTGCACTTAGCTGCTCCCAGTTGTCTGACCCCATCATTTCCCATCTGCTGTTACTCTAGCTCTGTGCAGACGCTCAGAAAAGGAGATGAGCAGGTGGTAAAGGTCATCAGAATCTTTTTCTCTGCTATCTGCAAAAAGAAGGTGCTGGGCCGGGGATTTAGCTCAGCAGTTTGGTGGCCTGGCTTGCAAGCGCAAGGACCCAAGTTCAATCCCCGGTACCAAAAAAAAAAAAGAAGGTGCTGGACCAGAGTAGCAATTTAAGTATTAAGAGACTTTCTTGAAATGGAGCTTTGAGGGGACCCTAGAAAACAAGAACAGTTGAATTAGAACTGCTCTGTTAAAGAATAGAGACCCTGAGACACCCCAACCCCCTTAGCCTGCTGCTTCTTGTCTTCCCTATGGAGACCCTGGGACATCTCTGCAGAGCCATAGGGCCCCTCGAGGCACAATGTGAAAACCACTTGAGTCTGCAGAGTTTAGGGCTTATTCTGTGATGACATATCAGGTACTGGAGCATCACCAAAGGGAAAGCGTTGGAGAGAAAATGGCCAGCCTTCTGAAGCATTTTATGTTAGAAACAGCATCAGACCGTCCATTCTTAAAGTTCTGTAGTCTGTCTTTTAATGAGTAGATATCCTGTACTCAGAATTTGTCACTTTTCCTGTTCTCCAATCTCATGTTTTTTCATTCAGCATATATTTTGAGCACCCATGCTCTGCTGGGTATATTGGAGTAGAGTCTAATGGGAGATTAAGATACCAAGCAGTATATACAGTTACAAATTGTAATGAGTTGATATGAAAGGAATGAATGTAATGCTACATAGTAAGACTTTGCACAGGTGACCCAAGTTAGATTGAGGCGTGAAAGGATGGCTTACTGGGCAAATTCTAATTGTGCTGAGACATGAAAAGTGATTTGGAATTCGCTAGTTATAAAAATTGAGGGAAATACTTCAGACAGCAAGTACAGCATATGTAAAAGTTCTGAGGCAGGAAAATTCTTGGTGCATTGGAGGAGCTAAAATATAGTAAGTAATCAGTCAACTGACATGGTAGAAGATGACTTTGAAGAGGCAGGCAGGGACTAGATGGTGTAGAGGCCACACAGGCCATGGCAAAGAGCTTATTCTACTTAATAAAGTGTTAATGCCAGTTATTAGTGACCAACATGATGACTATAACATTTTACCTACAGCCCAGTGGTTCCCAGAAACAAGTTACATCGGGCAACCCCAAAATCAAAGTTTAAAGGAGGAGGGAAGTTATTTGCACCAAACTCTTCAGAATAACACTACAGCTGAAGACATTGAACAGTTTGTGCTGGACTACCTCAAACAGAAGGATGTGGCAGAGGGAAATGTCTTGGGTTTTGACAGTGATGAAGGTAATTATTACTTATTTTGTCTTAGTTATTTCTTTTTAAAATAGGTGATTATAAAAACAGTGAAGCATTATTCCAGAAAGTTTGGAATTTCTGAAAGTCACTGTCTCACAATTCTCCTTTGTTATGCAGTATTTTTCCATTCTTTTTTTGGCATAAACCTATTTTTACATGGTTGCAGTCATAGCTTTTGTTTTGTTGTATGGTGCTAGGGGTGGAACTAGGGCCTCAAGCATGCTAGGCAAGCTCTGTGCCACTGAGCTGCACCCCCAGGCCCTTGCAGCCATAGCCATAACATCATACCCTTCTTGTGTCTGGTTTTAAGCAATGCCCCATGTTACTATCGAGGTTTCATAATTAATGTTTTAATAGCTGTTACTGTCTACTCCCCCTTCGGAAGTGTTTGTTGCTTCTAGCTTTCACTGTAGTAAACAGTGCTGCCATGGATGATTCTGTACATGTGAGCTTTTCCTCTTTCTGGCATATTTCTTTATAAATTTCCAAAATGAGATTTGTGGATCAAGGATAGGGACATTATTTAATGCTTGCCAATTTGCCTTCCAATATGGTGATATTGATTTATACCTTTCCTTCAGCAGAACAGGATTAATACTGGTTTTACCACTACCTTGCCAACACTGACTGCCAATTTTACTTTTCCTGAATTATAAGTTTAAAATATACTTTTGTTATTTTACTTTGCATTTCTTTGATTACTGGCAAAGTTGAACCTATTTCTACATGCTTCTTCTAACATTTCCCTCCCCTCTTAGGCCCATTGTCTATTCATGTGCTTTGTCTGTTTATTTATTGCTAAGAAGAGATTCCAGTGTTTTTCTTACCTATTTATATAATACAAGAAAAGAGAGTTCAGGCTAGTAGCAGCTCTGGCCTCTTGTTTTATTCACAAACTCAATCTGGAGCTTCAGGTCAGAGAAAGATTAATAAATTATTAGACTCTCCTCTGCAAATATAAAATGCCAAGCCATAATGAGCTTGGTGATCCCAGAACTATCCTAAATTGAACTAAGTCCCAAATTAGTTTGTTAGATTGGAATTGAGCAGATTTTCTTTTTTTCCTTCTCTCCACTTGTAATCTGAACTCTGTGATTCTGGTGAACGTACTTGCAGGATAATAGGAAATAGTGGCTTATTGCATTAACTACAATAAATTATTTCTAAATAGCTGTGAAGCACCACAAGGTCTAAATAATGATTGATGCAGAGTCATTGCTGTCCCCACAGACAGAATTTTCTTGGTTAGAAACCTGTTGGGTTTTTTCTTCTCAGGTTTGCTTCTTGACACAACCAAATGTGCTCCTCACCCAAACCTGGGAGCCCTGAAGAAGGGAGAGCATCTTGATCCTTCATAATCCATATTTGCCTTTCTGGTTTAAAATTCAAGACACTGTCCATTTCTTTAAGATTAGAATCTTCTGGTTCTGGTGCGTTTTGCAGCTAAGCAGACTCAATGAATCAAACCCTCTTCCAAAAAAGTGCACATCTCTCAAATAACATTCTGCAGCAGGTAAATTTCAAATGACAAATATCTCTCTGGGGAAAAAAAAAACATAGCCCTATCATACACACAATTATCATTCATCAAATACATACCATGCAATTGGCATTACAAAGGGTTTTTGGCTTGATATTAGTTTGACATAAGTGTTTTGTTTCAACCACATAAAAGTACTGTACCTTCTATATCCAGGATCTTTTTCTCCAAGAAATCCAAGCATTCTGCAAATGCATTTTCCTTTATGTTTTCAGCACCTGTTACAGACAGGTGCAGCCTCTATTGTAGGAGTCTATTTTTCCAGCAAAGGAAACTAAAATGAGAAAAAGTTAAGGGAGCAATACTCAGCTCAGTGTAAATGAGCACAGCTAGTAATTAAGAGTTTAGGGACAAGGATAGGGTATGTAAGCAGAGGAAAACTTTTCAGAATAGGGATTTTTGTCTGGGTCTCATACAGTTCTCGTCTTTCTTGTGGTGTTTTTAAATTACAAGCTTACACCTGTCTCATACAACACAGTACTCTAAGTAGTGAGAGAATGGTAATAGCTGGCAACCCTCTCCACTAGCAGATGATATATATTTTTTTTCCCTCTGTTTTAACCAGGTGAAGTAATGTAGGAGAAGTTGCTAATAGGTTGTAGAGACCAGGCTTGTACTGATCTCTTACTGAGCCTCAGTCACTTTGTAGTACATCAGCCAGACCTGGTCTCTTCTCTTGTACAAAGATGAGTGAGTCTCAATGTTGGCCACTAAAGGATCTTAAAGACTGGCAGAGAAGATATATATCAGAGGAAAAACTAGAAGAAAACAGGAGAAGTCAGAGAAAAGGCCAGCTGGGAATGTGCCCAGCCTCAAGGTTTCAAATTAGAACTGTGCCCTTTGTATATTTCTATTTTAAATATTCATTAATTGAAATTTAGAAAAGACCAAAAGTATAGGAAAAATTTTTAAATCATCTATTATAATCCTGTTACTGTTCATATTTTCTTATACTTCCTCCTATGCAAAAATTTACATAATGCCTGTGCTTATACACAATTTTGTACCATATTTTTTCTTTTAACACTGTATTATTTCATAAGTATTCTATCTTGTCATTAAAACCCTTACTGAGCATAAATTTAGGAACCTTGTAACATACCATTGTATGGATATACCATGATTTATATACCCATTCCCTCTTGAGTGGACATAGAGGGTATTTTAGTCCATTTGTGGTGCTAGAACAAAGTAGCTAAGAGTGGATAATTTATAAAGAACACAAATTTATTTTCTCACAGTTCTGAGGGCATGAATTTCAGGATCAAGGTGCTGGCAGGTTCATTTATCTGGTAAGGGTTGCTCTTCCAAGATGGTACCCTGTCACTGTGTCCTCAGTGGTACAAGGCAGAAGAGTAAGAGAGCTACATGAAGCCTGTTTTGTAAAGGCCTTGATCCTATTCACAGGAGATGGAGCCTGTAGCCTAATAACCTCTTACATGTCCCACCTCCTACTACTGTCACATTGGCTGCTATGTTTCAACACTAGAATTTTGGAGAGGCCACATTCAAACCATAGAAAAGGGTTCTTCCCAATTTGTAGCTGGTACAATTTATGGTGCCATAAACATCTTGACTTCTACAGCTTGACCCAAATTTCCTTAAGATCCTTCCCTAGACATTTTCCTTGCAGTCCTGTTCTAAATCTGAAGCTGAGGATCAAGCTAGGTAGGAGCAGCACCTCTTACGAAACACTGTCACCAGTTATGATCTTCTTGCAGAGGAGCTGTCCGTGCCTCCAAAGTTGGAGGAAAGTGACACTCTTCCAGATATGGAACCACCACTGCCGGTGCAGATCCAGATAGCCAAGGACGTGATGGAGCGCTGCATCCACTTGTTGTCAGATAAAAATCTGAAGATCCGATTGAAGGTCAGTGTGCATTCCCTTCTGTGCATTCACAGAGAGGCAAGACTGAGTGTGGTCTGGTTAGCAGTGGATACATGAATGAGCATGCACCTCCCCTTACCTCCTGGTCCATGTGTGGTGGCCATAAGAAGGCATAAAGAGGAATTTATCTGTGGGGTGACACTTTCACGTCTTCCTTTACCAACTTAGATGCCAAAATGGAGCTGATCCTTATTAAAAACCCCAAAGTTTTTGAGTTCATTGACTTTCCAAGGAAAGAAAATTGTGTTCTGTGAAAAAATTTCATTATCTGAGCTGACCTAATGCAGAAGGCAGGTTTCAATTCTTAGAGGTGGTCATTCTTCCAAGTCTGAACCTTAATCTTTGTTTCTGTTTCTGTTTTCCTTGGATAAACCCCAACACTTTTCATATTACATCTTCATTTGCAGGCAGTTTGCCAAGCAAGTACCCCATCAGCAAGAATTTAAAATACACTGTAGTGACTCAACATAGTAGTGTGGTGGGGAGGTAGTGGGAGCCAGGTTTTTTGAAATGCTTCAGAGACTTTCTGCTCAAACGAAATTGCCTACTTCTCTACTTCCAAGCAGGAAGAAGAATTGACTGCTTTAGTTTACTCACTGGTGGCCCTGGGAGCACCTTGCCTTGCTCAAGGGTAGGGGGCCATGGTAGGAGACACTAATCCATAGATTATCAGATCTCTGGGTCTGCACTGTGTGGAGTTTGTTTAGTCTTCCTGAGACATCTGTTCCACTCAGCAAGCACTTTCTGAGTGCTTATAAAATGCGAGGCTTTAATGTAGGTGCCTGGTTGATACATTTGGCAAACTCCTAAATGTCTTTTAAGATCTTCCCTGTTACAGGGATTTTGTGACAGCTGTATACACACAGTAGTCATTAAGAAAATCAGTACCAGAGTCAGACCCTATATAACTAAATTCAAATCTTTAAGCGAGGTGTGGTAGTGCACACCTTTAATCCCAGCACTCAGGAAGCTGAGGCAGGAGAATCACCATGAGTTTGAGGCCAGCCTGGATTACATAGTTCAGAGCAAGACCCTAACTAACAATAAAATTAAACAAAACAAAACTAAGTTCTTTGTTCTGCCCCTTACTAGCCAGGTGACCATAAAATTAGTTCACCACATTGAGCCTTAGCATCTTATGTGTAACGTGGAGATGAGGATACCTGCCTCGTAGGTTGTTTGTTACAAAGATAAAACAGCGCAAGATAGGGCATGTACTCTCATTCATTCTCTCATTAAATGCTATTGAAGACTTCTGCAGGCCAAACAGGGCATATAGAAGGGAAGGCTGCAGGCATGATCCCTGTCTTCATGGAACTTCCTGTCTCTGGTGGGGAGAGAGGCAAATCAAAAACATACATCCAGGTCAAGTTAATACTGTCAAAGTAATGAGCAGTTACTATGATTGAAAATAGTATTCACTTATGTAGAGGGATTGATCAACAACTAGTGTGTGGGACCGGGATTTGTCACAGTGGTTCTGCCGCCTGCTTCACAAGTAGAAGGGCCTGAGTTCGATCTCCAGTACCAAAAAAAAAAAAAAACTAGTGTGTGATCTGGGCATGGTAGCACATGACTGTAATCCCAGCACTCAGGGGCCGGGGAGTTAACTCAGTGGTTCCGCCACCTGCCTCGTAAGCACAAGGACCTGAGTTCGATCCCCAGTACCAAAAAAAAAAAAACTAGTGTGTGATCTGGGCATGGTAGCACATGACTGTAATCCCAGCACTCAGGGGCCGGGGAGTTAACTCAGTGGTTCCGCCACCTGCCTCGTAAGCACAAGGACCTGAGTTCGATCCCCAGTACCAAAAAAAAAAAAAAACTAGTGTGTGATCTGGGCATGGTAGCACATGACTGTAATCCCAGCACTCAGGGGCCGGGGATTTAACTCAGTGGTTCCGCCACCTGCCTCGTAAGCACAAGGACCTGAGTTCGATCCCCGGTACCAAAAAACAAAAAAAAAAATCCCAGCACTCAGGAGGCTGATTCAGGAAAACTGCTTTGAGTTCAAAGGCAGTTTGAACTACATAGTGAGACTTTCTCAAAAATAAAGAAAATACCGTGTATGTTTGAATTTTTTAAATTACAGTAAAAGATAGATTGCCATTAATCCCCCTCAAAATACTCATCCTTGCTTTGGACATACTTATCCCATCATTCTTGCTACTTTCTGAATCACCTCTAGGAGTCTTTTGTGTCTTTAGTTTTGCCATTGTGGCTGCCTCTACGCCCTGAATCATTTCGAAACGTTTACCTTTCATGGTCATTTTGACCTTGGGGAAGAGCCAGAAGTCTCTTAGTACCAGATCTGGTAAGTAAAGTGGATGAGGACACATTATAATGTCTTTTTGAGCTTGCCCTTTGATTGTATGTCACTGTACCTTTTATCACATCTTGCAAAGATACAAGAGGACTTCAAGAATCTCTTCAGAAAATGGCAAAAATGATGAACTAAGTGTTTATGAAGAAAGGATACCTTGAGGGGCGTTCATGGAAATTTATCTTTTACTATAATAACATTTTTTAAAATTTAAACATTCACCGTATATTTCAATAAAATTTGCTCTTTAGCAAACCATGTTGAGCAAGACAGAGCTTACATTTGATTTAGACTAGGTCATCTCAGAAGACTTTCTGAGGTGGTAACATTTCTAATAATTGAGAAGCCAGCTATGCAAAGAGAAACATGGAGGGAGAATAAGCAGAGGGGGAAAATGTGCACCTTTGAATCAGCAACAACTAATGTAACTTGTCCAGTTAATGACAGAATTCAAATTCAGAGCAAGCCAGTGATACCAAAGCCACTTTCAGTATACTCTGCTCTCCATAGCGCTGCTGAACTTTCTCTTATTCCCCTGCCTTGTGAGTCACCTTCCAAGGACAGGGCCTCTTCTGTTTGGCATTTCTATTACCATCTGTGGGGACCAATGCATAGAAGGCTCCAAGTAAAGCTTAATTTTGGTGGACTCCACTCTTCCTTCTGACTCAGTGTGTGCCTCATGTGCCCTGTGAAGGCTGGGTTACCCTTGTGGAGCCTGCGTCAGTAGTCATACTCATCACCACCTACGATACAGATGTGATCAGTACACTTTAGGATGTAAGATACCTGGAAACAAATTCTCAAGGATGATAAAAAATCAGTTTACATGTAGGCCAAGCCAAAACTTTCTTTTTGAGTTTGGCCTATACCTCAGCTGCCTGCTTGACCTCTCCAGGTAGCAGTCACAGGACTTGAATCCCACCCAGCCTTTCTTCTTTTAACTCCTCCATCGCTCATCCCTCTTTCAGTGACACCACTCCCCTTCATTTGCTATGCCTGAACCCAAGCAGCTTCACCCGACACCTTATCCCCTCCCCAATATCCAGTCATGCCACAATTTGTCATTTCATCTCTAAAACAGATCTCAAGTCCTTTCATTTCTCTGCCTCTCCCACCATCACGTAGCTACATCACTTTGATCCTCTCATGTAGACATGTGCCATGGCCTCCTAGAGAGCTGCCTCTCTTCCTACCCCCCCTTCAAGTCCCTTCTCCACTCAGCAGCCTGAAGGATCATATTAAAACATGAATCAAATCATATGTCACTTTCCTGCTCAGTTGGTGGTTCCCCGCTGACTTAGTACACCATGAAACTCAACGTGACCCTGTCTGGGCCCAGCCCTGTCTCACCCATCCTGTGTCATGGTCCACACTGCTCATCAGCTCATCTTTATCTTTCAGAAGCTACTCCCCAGAAAAGCAGTGCTAATGGTCTATGCTTTAGCTCCTTCCCTTAGTTTCTTTGCATTTCACCTTTTATTTTCCTTCTTGATTTACTCTAATTGGTAATCTCTTTTTTTGGATATTACCTAATTAAGGTCTTTATCCCATTACCATGAGCACATTAAAGGCAAGGAAGCGTGTATATTTTATGCTTGTGTGTCACCCTAGTACTGACCTGGCCTGTAGTCAGAACCCAGTAAGTAGTTACTCAGTTAATGCATTGGTCAATCTTACTTTTTAAGTAGTACCTGATCCTAGGTATCTGGTTTCAAACCGTTACTGTCTGCTGAGATCATGTCTTTTCTTTCAGGTCTTAGATGTGCTTGGTTTATGTGTGATTGTTCTGCAGTCATATAAGAACCAGCTGCTTCCCTTGGTTCATCGGGCCTGGCCCTCATTCGTGCACCGACTTACAAATGATGACCCCCTGGCAGTGCTCAGAGCCTTCAAGGTACTGCATTGATGCCACACTATCCATCACGGGGATAGATGTCATAAGCAGAGCTCATGGGCTCCTTTGCAGTGCTTCTCTTTATCTGATTTCACTGTCACAGACCTTGAAGAAAGTATAGAAAACTAAAAAAAGCACGAAGAAAATAAAAGTCACTTCCCTATTGCATTTGAATCAAGGTGAACTAGGAAAGCAAAGGGTTACCAGTATTTGTTGAACATCTCTTGTGTGCCAGGAAGTGAACTTAGCATTTCCCTATATATAGCTCATCTCACAACAGTGCAAGGTGAATAAATTATCTCCATTTTCAGTAGAGGAAGAAACAAGCTCAGAGAAGTTAAAGAATTATCTCAAGATCATACAGCTAATAAGTAATAGAACTTAGATCTGTGAGTTCATGCTCAAGTTCATTGTACTGCCCAAAAGTCTAAGTGGAGGGGCCTGTGTTCTAGCCCGGCATCCTCTGCCTAGCCAGACAGTTGGGCAAAGCCCTTGACCACCCATTTTCAGGTGGTGCTTAGGAAAACCTCCCCACCTTCCTCGCAGTGCTGTCAAGGATAAAATGGGACTCTGGTGAAGTGCTTTGGAAAGCTAATAGTCCTTTAAAGATGTAAGGTGTTTTTCTCCCTGACTTAGTTTGGCTCATATTAGCATATGTATTTTAGCTTATTTATTTATATCCTTCTTTATTCTGAAAAGCACTTCCAGCATCCTGCAGAGATACATTTCCATGGCAAACTAGCATAAATTATAAGTAGGTGAGCAAGATGAGGCAAAGAAGAAAGATGTGTGGGGACATAAGATGAAATTGAAAACGTGATGAATATACTTGGCGAAAGAAGTTTGATTTTCTGTAAGAGTCTTCAGCGTACACTGGACCAAAATGTCAGTTTACAGTCAAAACACATAAAATTGTTCATATTTTTTTCCAAAGCAAAATGTATAAAACAGCATGTGTGTGTATGTGTGTGTAGATAAGGAAGGAGAGAGGTAGTACTAAATCCTACTCACATGTGCTGTTTTCCGTTATGAAAATTAATAGGCTATCTGAAATTACAGCAAGTGTAGAAAAATGAAAAGATGTGTGTGCCGAAGCTGAAGCTGTATTTTCCACATTGAAGCACATCGATGGCACCTGAGGTCTCCAAACCCTGTGCAGTCCAGCCAAGGGACGTAAACAAGTGCCTTCCTCTCTGCAGAGTGGGCAAATGCTTGTGCGGGTTATACCTTGCTTACTGATTTTGAAAGAAATTCCTACTCTGCTGTATACTCAGTCTTGTGCAGCAGGGCAAAACGTTTCAATATGTTCTGCTAGAGAAAGTTTAAAATGAGACATGCAAAGAAACTGCCTGTTGTGAAAGATAGAATGAGAGTGATGTACATAAGAGATTGTTCAGTTGAACAGAGGGAACATGGAGTCCACTCCAGCCGCAGGGACTGGCCGGGGTTCACCCAGGGCCCTCAGCGCCCCCAGCTCCTTCACCTCACTCCCCAACCTCACCCCACTGCCTGCACATGGCTGAGCCTTAGCACTTATATGTGCTCAGCTAGCTACCCTTAAAAGCCCAAGTCTTTTCTCAAGGGATGTTAGGAAGATTTCAGAGATGATCTATGTTAACTGCTTTAAGCTCTTTTTTTTTTAATGAAAAAAAGGGAGGTAAATTAAGGTATTAATCATATTATTCATCCAGCCCAAGATTCCTCTGAATTATTCTCCATGTAATCTGTATTTATGGATAGAAGCAGTTGTGCCTTAGGAGCAAAGACCTCTGAATTCATAACTGTCAGAATTGCCATCCATGGTCAAGGAATTAATAGCAGTAATTCTGTTTTGTTTCGCTTTGTTTTTTTTCAAGTAGAGACCTAGATGGAATTGAATTACCAAGCATTCTTTAGCCCTCTTACTGCCTTGGTAGTGTTTAGCCAGCAAGTTGGGGACTGTTTCTGCAGGTTTTGTGCACTCTGGGAGGCAAGTGTGGTGATTTTCTTCGGAACCGGTTCTGCAAAGATGTCCTGCCGAAGCTGGCTGGCTCCTTAGTTACCCAGGCTCCCATCAGTGCCAGGGCTGGACCAGTTTACTCGCACACTCTAGCCTTCAAGTTGCAGCTGGCTGTCTTGCAGGGTCTGGGCCCGCTCTGTGAGAGACTGGACTTAGGTAGGTACCAACTAACCTCACCTGGATGCAAACCCTGTGTCCTGTCTCACCCCTGCCTTGTGTTTGTGCCCCTCCCCTCCATGTCATCTCCTTCAGTCTTGCTTTGGCCCCATTTGTCCCTCTGTCTTGCATTTCCTGACTCACATGATGGAATAAAGAGCTCAGGGAATGTTGCCCAGCTGCTCCATTTTCCCCAGACGGCAGTTGGTTACTGCTTATCCCAAATGAAGTCTGAGGGCCAATGCTTGTTTTGATTTTCCTCTCTGCAGGTGAGGGTGACCTGAATAAAGTGGCTGATGCCTGCTTGATTTACCTCAGCACCAAACAGCCCGTGAAATTACAAGAGGCTGCCAGGAGGTACGTCTGCTTGATCACCCGCATCTCTTTACGTTTGTTCTAAATTATAGATGATTTGCTAATGGCGAGCAGAGCTAAGGCATCTCTGCTCTCCTTTCTTTCCTTGCCAAGTTAAGATGATTTCTTGAACTGTGCCAACTCTAAAGATAGTATTTTTATTACATACATGTCCCTTTATAAGTCACCTTTTCCTCTGCTGCAGTGACCACAATTCCATAGGGGCAAAAAGCAGAAAGACCATGAGGGGACCAAGCACCCTCTTGGCTGGAGGGTGAGCCACTTCTAGGTCCTGTTCCTGACACCCTAATGTCCTGTGCCTCACTGCCCTCCACAGTAAAGAGAAAGCAGTAGGTTACTGATCTGCCAAACCTCGACTTCACGGAGGCTCTTAGATGATAGAAAGTATATGCAAAATTGGATGTGTTTTCATGCAGGCATGTACATGCCTATTCCTACAGTCCATACCATTCATCCAATCTGAGCAGCAGTCTGTCATCCAGAGAAAGGTAACAACCACTCAGTGGGCCTTTTCTGATTCTGAAATCACATGATTCTGATTTCCAGGAGCTTTGACCAAGCTTCTAACAGAAGCAGATATTTCTAGTTGTGGGACTGTGAAGTGATTTTTCTCATCAGCTGAAACTCTGACAGAGGGCATCCCCACACTGCACTCTGGACACCTTTCCCCCGTTCTTCCTCTCTCTCGAGCTGCTTCCCCTGCACACCTGCTCTGGTCCAGGCTGGGGCTGTCTGGCCTGCCAGCTCCATGCTCCTGAGCAGTGTTCCTCCTCCTCCTTGGGTTTCTGGAGACAGGACCCTGAGTATCCATGGTGGGGTAAGAGGTAGGATTCAGCTCATTCCCACAGGAGCTGAAAGGCTGCTCTGACTGTGGAGTGAGGAGAGTGACTTGCTCTCTTACAACCCTTGTACTCCCTGGTAGTGATGGGAATATCTCTTTGAATTGATTTATTGTCTTTGCAATTTTTTACTCTTGATTTCTTCAGTAGCCTTTTTTCTTTCTGTCCCTTTCCCATCACATCCCTTAGGCCCAGAATCAGTCATAGTTTCTTGAGCACAGGATGCATCCCAAGGAGCTCCTTGTCCCCCGGCATTCTTATTCCTTAAAGAACCAACTTAGGAGAAAATAGTTCTCCCTGGGCAATGCCCCAAAGCTTGTTGTTCTGTGATTTAAAGTGCAGTCAACAAACATGATGAATTTATCGTCAAGAAAAGTCTTTGAGGAGCCGGTTACAACCAAGAGTTACAAAGTCCCGATTTCTGCATTCCTTGTTCTGTTCTTTTTTTACTACCACTGCATCCCATGCTTCAAGTTTAGAGCCATCAAACAAGCTAATATTCACAATTCATTATCTTTTATTTCTAATTCTCTTTTTTGTGGCTGAAAGCAATTAAACCCGGAATTGGACCTTGCTGAATCTTGAGTTGGTATTCACGGTGCCTCCAGAGGAGGAACATACACCCAGACCGCTTGACTGACTGCAGGGCCACCTTTGTTTGCTCCACTGCATTCTGCTCGGGGTTGAGTCAGATGATGTCCCTCTGCCTGGCAGCAGGCAGGGGAGGAAGTGCAAGGTTGATTGCTTCACACACATATCATCTGCAAACTATTTTGAATTTGGGGTGAGGAGGAATCACTGTTGTCCTTGATCAAGAGCTGATTTGGCATCTTGATTCAGAAATTAATAAGCTTCTAAATGGGGAGAGACAATAGGAAACCTATATCTTGTAAGCTGCATTACTGCACAAAGAGAGGGTGATGGAGAGCTGATTAGTACTGAAGCAGTCACATCCACTGGTACTGATGAGCAAGCCATGGCCCTGACTGAGATGGAGTCCCCATTGTCTAGCCAGTTTGTCCTTAGTTCTTCCTTCATACCCCACATCCCTTAGCAAGGTAAAGCCTATCTACCTACTTGGAAAGTCTCTCTTAAAACTGTCTTATTCTCTTCCTCTCCAAGCCATGTAGCTGGGGTTTACAAAAAGCCACCCTCAGTATTTAGAGCCAGTGAAAGTCAGAGCTGCCCAGAGATGACTGGTCTCCTTTACAGGTATTAAATTCCCCATCCTCTGTCAGCCAGAGGGCTGGATAAGGAACCAATGAGGACAGGGGCCTCCCTCTTCTGGAGGAGATGGATGAGCACCATGGCCTGTGGAGAGGGTGTTGTGGGGGACCTTAGAGGACTTCATCGTGTTGGAATGGAGACAAACTTGGCTACACCATGAAAATTTCTCTTATTTTCACTACACCTGGGTTTGCTTTTTCCAGCTCCAAAGAATGACCAGGACTGTGTTTGCTTTTTTAATTTGTCATATTAAATATAGCCTTTGTGTCTGTCAGACTTTTGCATCAAGCTGTAAACTCTGGAAATGGAAATTGATCAGGGGGTGGTTGATATAACCAAGGCTGTAAATGCTAAGAACAGAAATGCCATTCCAGTTTAATGCTTTTATCTAGCAAATATGCCTTGTAAGGAGGGGGCATAAATCCTGCAACTTTGGTGGGGTGGGGGGAACAGGGTATAATCTTCCTGCTTGTTACCACTAGGTGTCACTGTTAGAACTGGCAATGCAGGAAAAAAAAAAACAAAACAGCTCCTCTAAAGTCCATCTAGCAAAATAACTTCAATTGATAAAAAACAAATCATATTATCATATTAGGACCAAGGATTTAGCTCAGTGGTTCCACCACCTGGCAAGCACAAGGTCCCAAGTTCCATCCCCAGTACCAAAAAAAAAAAAATCATATTTGGGGTATAGGAAGAGGGGGTCAAGATATCAAGAGCTGTAAGTAGGCAGTGTCCCTGATGGTAAATATTGAATTACAAATAACAGATCGGATCAGCCACACCCCCATCTCAGACCAATGCAGAGGCAAATTTAACTGATTTAAGTTCCCAAGTGGTCCCTGAAGCCTCCATGGTATCTCCCAGCATGCAGTTTGTCTCCACTGTTCAGTGCCTTTCTGACCATGGAGCTTTGCCCTCCCATAGATGAAAGAAATTGAGATGAGAGCATACACCCCAAATTTCTATTTTTTTCAAGCCAGTAAGTGTACTCAGCCTGACTCAACTCTATTAGAACCGTACATCTTGGGCCACTCTCTTACTAGGCTCTGAGGCTCCCTGCCTTGCAGCAGTGTCTTACATCATCCAACTGGGCTAAAAGGAAATCAACCTAGGCATCTATGTTTAAATAGACAAAGTCTGTGCCTGATAAGTTTCATGACAGACCAAGCTTTTAGACTGGCCTCTACCAAGTCCTACCCCCACCTGCCAACTCTAGACCCCAGCTAAAGATGCAGGGTGCCAGCAGGTAGTAACCAGCTGGTACACCTCCTAGTCATGTAGGTACCTGGATGCCTTATTATTGCTGTAGTACTTGATGTGAGGGAAGGGGGACACTGCCCCATCTGCCTCCTGGCTAGCCATTATGTATGAGAACAAAAGACATCAGTCTTTTATTTTAAATTAGTACTTGTTTGAAGTACGTAAACATTGTGGGGAATAGGTACATGTATATATTTTAGTTATTTTTTTCCCCTTCCCCTCTCTTTTCCCTCCCTCCATCTCAAGATCCCCTTCCCACTTACCAAAGATACACCTTCTGTTTCCCATTGTCTGTCTTTTCCTTTACTCTTTAACTCATCATATGAGAAATTATGCAGTATTTAAATTTATGCATCTGATGTTTTCACTTAACATTGTGGTCTCAAGGTGCATCCATTTTCCTATAGATGACTCAGATTTATCCTTATGGCAGAGTAGTACTCCGTTGTATATAAATACCACATTTTCTTTATCCATTCACCTTTTGATGGGCATATAGGCCATGTCTGATATTTAGCTGTTATGAGTAGAAGGTACCATTCTTGGAGTTGGGCAGTCCTAAGTTAGATCTTTTTTTTTTTTCCTCTCAAATTTTTTATTGGTACATTTTAGGTATACAGTACATTTACGTTCATCACTGGGAACTCGTACCTTTACATGCTGTATCTTGTTTCTTAATTTTTCCCCATTCCCCTACCCTCCTTTTAACTCCTCCACCCCTCCCTATTTGCAAAAGCTTTGTTTCCATTTATTTATCTCATATTTTTCCCTTTCACTTCTTTCCATTCCCCTACCCCTCCCAATTCCCCTACCTCTTAGTACCTTTTCTTCCTATTTCACATTGTCAATTATTCATTTTAATTCTTTCTTACACTTTTAGTTTCTCACACCATGTATTTACACATATGTATCCTATTTCCTAAGTTAGATCGTATCTCTGTGTGACCCTTGCATCTCATTTCCTTCCCTATAAACGAGGTGGTAATAATGCCCTCCTTTTGGGGTCTTGGGGCAGATGAATTGCTCTCATGTATTCAGGAAGACTGCTCAGTGCTCATCCATTCTGCAGATTGGTTGAGGAGTCTCTGTGTGCCAGGCACTTTTCTAGGCATTGAAAATAGAGGAAGCAGAACAGAAAAGACTTGTTCTCGTAGTGTTTGTGTTCCAAAGATATCCTGATAAATGCATGCACACACATGTGGGATGCATATAAATTTACCAAATATATGATTTATTTTGTATACATTGCATATACATACGAACTTGGATGTAGTCTTATAGGTCTGCTCCATCTTTACTGAACCTTGAACAGGGGTTTTCAGTTTAGGGAGGTCTTTTTCATGTTAATTGTTCACCTCTCCCCATCCCCCATTTGCTTGAGAAGTCAGGGCCAGATTTGAAGGTTCATTTACTGTCTGACTTCCTGCTCTCTATTCTAGCAGTAGGATCCTGGCCCATCAAAGAACCAGCTGGTACCTTCAAACGTCAGAAAAACACAGACTGGCACAGGTTCTTTCATTTCATCCCTGTCAGAGCTCAACTCCACTCTTTACCCACATGTAGGCCTATTATATTTGAACAGATCAGGAGCCACAGAGGTGATCCATTAGTTCAGCTGACTTGAGATGAGAAGCTCCTGCCTTAAATGGTACG